AGACCTTCAGAAGGCCGCAGTTGTGAAAAAAATTTTTGTCAGGCGTGGTAAGCGCTCCAATGACATAGAAAGCATTTCTTCTGCCGGCGTCACGTTTACTGGCATATCTTTATCAGATATATTTAATGGCTATTTCATAAATTTACCTCAACGTACTAAGAGCGGCGACGCATGTAAAAATGTCACGTTTAGAAACAGCGACTTCCTTTTTTTTTTTACCTTCAGTCACTGACGCAGAGGTGTTTACGGTTATTATGGGATTAAATAACAGTCATAGTTGTGATGCGGATGATATGCAGATTAGACCAGTAAAGTATGTTTTACCTCTGATCATCCCCTTTATTACTCATATTTTTAACTTGTGTCTTTCAATCGGTGTGTTTCCGCAACTCATGCAAACAGATAAAGTGTCTCTGCTGTACAAAAAGGGAGATAAGAACTACAAAAGCAATTACAAGCCTATCTCTGTCCTTCCGGTATTCTCAAAGGGTTTAGAAAAAATCATACATATTCGTGTATCTCAGATTTTGAATAAGCATCAAATAATTACTAATGCTCGGTTACGCTTTAAAAAAAAATCGATCTACGTAACTTGCCTTGCTTAAACAAAATTAATTTATTTTACGGAGTTTTGAGAGAAAGATATTGGCCCTTGGCATTTTTGTAGATTTTACGAAAGCGTTTGGTTATATAAATCACAGTTTACTACCAGAAAAGCTCGATATTTACGGAATTCGAGGTCAAGCCGTTCTCTCACTTAAATTATATTTAGATCACCGTAAACAGTTTGTTCATCTTAATGGTTTCGCGTCTTCAACAAAGACAATTATATCCGCTGTACCACAAGGAAGCATCTTAATATCTACATTAATGACATTGTAAACATAAAATCCACGGACTAAATTTGTAATATACACGGATGACACGAGCCTGTTTTTTCTGGCAAGACTGGCGACGAGCTTATCAGCTGTGCAGACGTGACCTTAACAGCGTTTCAGAAATGGTCTTCAGATAACGCGCTGACGATCAATGTGAGTAAAACGGAAGCAATCGTCTTTCGAACTAAAAACAAAAATGTTTATGCGACTAAGACCCTTGTCCTAAATGCAAAGTATGTAGATATTGTAGATAATTTTAAGAGTTGAGGTGTAATTTTGAATCAGTACTTGGGAAAATCATGTAATTGATTTATGCACTAGATTGTCAAAGGTTGTTGAACTAGCGTCTCCTAACTGTTTCATTCTACCGAGAAATGTGATACCAGACTTTATTTCTTTCTCACCTGAATTATTATAATCTAGTTTGCGGCACAACCATCCGCAGAAATCTCCAAAAAATATTCATATTGCAAAAAAAAAAAAAAAATATATGTGCATCGCATTGAGAATGTTTGTTACAACGCTAGCACCCAGGACCTGTTCATAAAAAATAGCATACTTCCTGTTTACAACATGTACAAGTATAGCCACGCAATCAGTTTTAAGTTAGAAAATAAAAGAGGTGGGGATAGTTTAGTAAACCTTGCGCAGCTAAAAAAAACATGCAACTTGCTACCCAACTCAGTCGGCGGAACACTGGACTGTGCCACTGTGTCATAACAACTGTATTCAATGTAATCACTCAAATACACACTTCCTACCATAATGCGAACCCTAATAAAAAATGACATTGATATTATTTCTATTGTAATTCAGGAATTACGAACTGCACTAATGTAGGGCGAAAACGAATAAATCTATTTTTGAGGCCTGTTTGATTTTTTTTTTGTATTTTACTTTGTTATGTCGGTTTTCTCGGTGTTTTTCGCTGTTGCTTTGTTTTTGTCTTCTGTATATGCCACTAGAAGGGAAGAAGGGGCTCCGTCAAGCTGTTCTCATAGCTTGTTTCCCTTGTTTCCTCTATTTATGTATCGAAATTGAAAATAAAGTTCCTTAATAATAATAATAATCTAGTTATATGAAATGTACTGGGTCCGTTTTCCTGCTGCGTGGGATCCTGAACCTTTTCTGAAGTCGCCCTGGACGAGTTCGGAAAACCACGCAGTTCGGACGAATAGAACGGACACCTCAGATCAGAGGCGGGAGAGCAACCATGAAAGCGGCGGAGAGGTGAACGAATTCTCGGAACTCAGCTTAGATAAACCGATCACGTGATTTCCTCTATCCGTCGAGACCTATATAACTATCCTGAAAGAAAAAAAGAAATAAAACTAATCATCGTAATTTTTCGTACAAAACTTTACCTCCGTAGTAATGTGCAGCTCAAGTAGCTTATCATCGATCCGCAGGCAATCAGATTGTGGGATGAACCGTTCAGAACACTGAGGAACCAATGAAGAGCATAAGAAGCAGGTTTCTGCATTCTTGATTTAAACCGATAAAAACCGATAAACGCATGCCGAATTCATTTTTCAAAATTCGATTCTAAACGGAAAAAAAAAGGTCTCTATTTTAGAAGATTTGTATCTTTCTTTTTATTTTTTAGAAAGAGGGGGAACACTGGGGGGGGGGGGGGGGGGGGGTTATTGTGTGACTTTATGATGCACTTTCTTATAGGGCTGTCAGCTATTGGACTGTCCTGCTTCACAGGTGGGTAGGGTTCAACAGTGAACTATTTTTCGGGGGCTAATTTTTGTTCTCTTTCGAGGTCGCGCTTTTTGCATCCCAAGTCTTCGGTCCACTGGGAGATGGGGTTCGGACTGCTTTCATTGCCGGACGAAATGTCCGCCAGCCCTTCAGAGTATGAGGGCAATTTCAAAGATTAAAATAAAACTATGGACAATATTTACTCGTTACAATCGGAGTTTTCTGAGTACGTAAAGTATACCGTGCTTTCAAACGCGGTGATAAATGCATTTGGGCACCCGCATTTGTTTATCTTTGGTTTGTTTCGTGGGCTCACCGTGAGGTGCAGAGATAAAAGCGTGTTTCCCGACATATCTTCCGCCCCCTAAAGTTGAGCAGCTCGAGATAGTAGCATGATAACGGCAATCCTACAAAGCCCCCCCATTACACACTTAAAATAACGAGCCAAAACAGCGAACCAAAAAAACAAACGACAAGTTCATTTGTTAAAAAATACTGTCCCTCTTGCTCCCCTTCTCCAGGGATTATTTTCGTCGTTATAAGTAAACGTCAGTAAATGTTAGTCATGTTACAACAAATAAAAAATTACAAGATACTAGAATGTAATCGTGTATATCTTGGCCATGTCAGCAACGACAAAAAAACTGGCTGATTGCTCAGCTTTAATTACTGTAGTACATCCCGTCGGCAGCTTTCCGATTTTTGAGCGCATGTACACGGCCATTTATGAGAGGTGGGTCATTAAGAGGTCAAATCAACTTATTGTACAAATATAGGAGGAACGTACAACACTTTACTGCGTTCCGAAAAAAAAAAAAGTCTATATTTGGCCCGTTTCTAGGTTTAGGTGTTCTAAAGAAGCGCATTTTTGCACCAGCGGTCCTGCCCCACATGGCCGAGGCATGAAGCTTCGCTTACGTCATAGGAGGGAAGTGTGGCGCACGAGGGTTGCGCGTTTCGGCCACGGAAGAACTGGGTAAAATGCTGAACGTGCCTTCTATATTTCTTATCTAAGTTTATATAGTGGTTTTGAATCATCCTTAACGAGCCTTTAATCTATACCATTCACTACTTAATAAGCCGATCACTTGAAAGTAATTAATAAACTAAGTATACTATACGTTGTTTATTTTTCACAAATGGGCCTATTGGCGCAAAGCAATACGAACATTCGCATTTGTTCGGCAAGATGATTCTTTTTTTTTTTTGGGGGGGGGGGGGTCAAAGGCGATTTGGCTTACGCTTCCGGAAACACCCTGGAGATAAGTTCGAAGCTGCATCTTTGGATTTATTATAATGTTGTTGATATACTCGTAAAATACTATTGCGATCGAAATTACCCGAAAAAATCAAGGTTCAATTTGTGGTGCTCTTTGGGCAGGGCACATGTCCATATCTGCCTCGTGTCATAATTTTAATTATGTTCACCCTATGCGACAACTAAAATGCTAATTCTTAATTTTTTTGTCTTAAATTTTAGACCCAATAGAAAAGATACAGGTGGTTATCTTTCACGTGGCAGTTGCGTACTGTCAATGAGAGCACTGTGTTAAATACACAGATTGGTAAATATTCGCCCAAAGCTGATATAAACAAAAAAGTGCAAAAGTGTTTGCTATAATGGATATACCTACGTATCACCGAAAAGGAGGCAAATATATCAATAAAAAATATCGCTGAAAAACGAAAACTTACTGTGCAACTAAAAACCGAAAATGGTGGAACGAATATGTAAGAAAAAAAAACACAAAAGCACTAAACCTTAACAATAAGGCCGTGCGTTTTTAGAGCCACCAGTAACTATAGCCAGATCTACATCGCATCAATTGGTATACATGCCTTCCAGAGAACTTAAAAAGAGCAATCGCTGTAAACTGTAAAGATTTGTAATCCCCGCCCCCTCCGAATGCCAGGGGCAAGTACCAACCGTACCTTGCAAAGTTCGTCGACTAGAAAACACTAAAAAATCTGAAGCGTCTCTTTTTTCTTTTTTTTTTTTCTGTAAATCATTCGGGAGATTTAGACCTGATACGAATACAGTGTAATCCACTTATAACGATACCAGATATAACGATATATCGCTTATAGCGATCAAATTTTTTAGATTTGATCGCTATTTTTTTAGATTTGATTTGATCCAGATATAACGATAATCGGCTATAACGATTGGATTTTGCGGTTTTCTCAATATCGTTATAAGTGGACTGCACGTACAGTGATTGCTGCGGCACTGAGCATAATTGGGTGTCCCTCTCCGGGCCAAGGCACAGGCTAATTTTTATTTCGTCTAGATATATTTTCAGTCTCGCTATTAGCCGAGCTCCCTCATTGGATTGCAGCGACTGACTCTTCCGAGCTCGTTGCAGGTAAGCAGACGCTCCAGAGTTCTTAGAGCGCAGGTGGGGCAGTTCTCACCTTTTGAGGCAGTAGTCGCACACTTTTCCCGCCCCGTTCTGAGGGTCGACGACGTACGCGAACGGCTCCGACGTCAGGATGACATCTCCCCGTCTGTAGGCGCGCATCATCGGCTCTTCGCGCTGCCTCGCGCTGGACCGCTCTGGACTGAAAACGGCCTTCTCCCAGAGCGACCCCGACGGAGTGGTCCAACGCAAGCTGCAGCCTTGCCCGAGGATTTGCGGGGGCATTGCGCAACGATGAGCAGGTACCCAGTGTTGCTGGGCTATTTCGAGAGAGCCCTTGGGAGCGTTCAAGCAGCCAGCCACCCCTCGCTAAATGATCGCCGGAAATAGCTCCGTTAACGCCGCGATGACTCGAAGCAGGTGCCCCAATCGAACCCTCCCCACTCCGCTTTTGTTGGCTTTTTTTTTTTTTTTTTTCTTTTCTCGCCGATATTTTGAACGTGAGTCAAAGGTAAAGGCGTGATGCTGCAAAAATTATTTTGGAGCGAAGAACAAAACTACTAATTGACAACTGTTTTTTTTTGCAATTATTTTCTACTTTTGTTTTTCCACCGAAAGCAGCACAGGAGTTGCTCCGGGTCGTCGTCCAGCATCCTAGTCCTAAGCGGCAGCATTGTGCACAATGAGTGCTGCATCTAAACCGCCGCTTAATGTTTTCCTCAACTTCAGTTTCGATGGAAAACCTACCGCTCTGGAGCCGTTCAGTTAGATTCAAGAATTTAGAGAGGATTTCTCTCGCTCCAATGCCTCCTCGACACGTGGCATATTTTCTTTTTCCCGCAAAACCTTTCTGAGTGTTTTTTTTTTTTATTTTTGTTTTTATTATTATTATTATTATTCTTAACCCTGCTTATCTCCTACTCACTTTTATTCCGCTTCCTCCCCCTCCCCCCCCCCCCCCCCCCCCTTCCCTTGAGGACGACCAATGACCCGGGCTCTGGGAAACGTACTTTCCCCTACTTGGTTACTTTTTTTTTTCTTTTTTTTTCCGTTAATAGATTCGGATGGGACTCAGAGGTACAGGACTGCAAACCCTGACGATGTCTCTGCTCCCTTACATACCTCTTTACAAGTCAACCAGCAATCAGCAACAATCAGGCCGGACACAGAAAAACACACACACACACACACACACATCATCATCATCATCATGGCGCGGCCCTAAGAGCTAAAACATTTAGCAGGCCTTGCGAAATTCGAATTCAGGATGTACGTATACTTGAACTTGAACTCGCGAACGTAGTTCAATCTAAGTTTTATATGTATTTTTAAAGAACATTTCAGGGGTAATGAAATATTCATAATAAGGCGAAATCGCAACCCGTATATTTTCTCTCCTGTAGCGCCCTGTTTGTCTAATGTACACTGGTTGATGAGCTCGCTCCACGAATGGCTTGATGAGGGCAAAATCGCTGAAAACCAATAGCAAAGACAGGCGACGAGCAAAATAATCTCGATACATAAACACTTTTAACAAAATATATGGCCAATTACCACCTTAGGGCCAGCTCAAAAACCAGTGTACAGACGACGAACACACGGTATAAGGCAAAGGAAAGGCGCGGCACCCTTTTTGCTCTATTTTTTATATATTAGCACCATTCACTTCAGCTCTGAAACGCAGAGGGCGCACGCAGTTTGCCGATTATTTGGTTTTCGTGGCGCAATAAACCACGACCATGCTCGTATTTTTTTTTTTTTTTTTCAAAATTGGGGGCAAATTTAGAAACGCCGAATCCAGCTGTCATTTCAATAACAAAAAAAAAAAAAAAAGCTTCTGGCAAAGAGTTGTCTACAGCTTCATTTTATGCTGAGCAAGACCCGGCCTCAAGTCTGTTAGGCTGCTTCTTGCTTCTGAGAGAGAGAAAGAGAAACGACTTTAATTTTTTGGGTCGAATAAAGAGCCTACTCTCTTAAAATTGCCTGCCCTTCTACATACCCGCAAAACGCTCGAAGAGTCAATTTCTGCGATCTACGAAATCAGCTCAACGAATGATGAGGCGAAACATCTATTAGGCCTCGAAATGAAGTCTGCGCTGTGGCATTAGGCAATGCAAGCATGTCGCTTTGCGGTGCGTAATGCCAGAGCGCAGACTTCATTTTGAGATCTAAACAGATGTTCCGCTTCATCGTTCACTGAGACGATTTTATAGATCGTGGAGATTGGTTCTTTGAGTGTCTTGCGGGTAAGTAGAGGTGCAGGCATTTTTTTAGAGTGTAGGTGTGCTCCTCCGCTAAGCGGACAAGAGCCAGTTGATCGACGTGAGCCGGCGAGGCCAGCCACAACCGCCACTGTGGAGGAGGGGGTTGGGGTAGTGGGGCGACCGGATGGCTACGGAGCAAGTGGACAGGAGGTGCTCAACGTTCGCCTAGGGGCAGGAGCAATTGGGGCAGAGGGATCTGATCTGAAACGATAGACAAAACGTCGGGAGGGGTGATGAGTGTGTTAAGCTGGATGGCTCTCATTGTGTGTGTTTGTGAGGTAGTAAGCTGGCTGTGTGATGTAGGCAGTGTTTGCATTGAGTGTGGGAGTTGTGCGTAGTGTTGTTTCATGGTCTTCTGGTAAAACTGTGCCTCGTCCGCCGTGGGTGGGAAAGGCCGGATTTCCGGCTCCTGGGTAAGAGTCTCGTAGGCAAGTTGATGATCCCACTTTTTACCGGCAGGGGAAATTTGCGAAAGGGCGGAGGAGAGGTCGTCGCGCAAATCCAGGGAAGTCGGCACGCGCGCATTATTCGAATTCGCTTTCATAGAATCATTGCAAATGCGGGTACCGGGGAATAGGCTGAAGGAACATAAGTTCTTCAGTCGCATGCACCACGGAACAGTGTTCCGGAGTTGCCACTCCGGAGATGGAATGACTCCGGAATCATTCTGCGCTTTCGCGACCCCGGATTGGAATGGGAATGGAATGGCGTAAGCGCTGTTGGGGAATGGAATGGGAATAGAATTATATGGTTTTTGCATATAACCCCCCCCCCCCCCTTTCCGCCAACCGAATGCCTACTGCCCCTCCCCGGCCCGACCCATAAATCCGCCCCTGGTATCGGCCCAGTGTCTCCATTCTGACGACTATAAAGGAATTTAATTGTCGGAAACTCTAATTCCCCGCAATATAATTAAAATCAAATTGGGTGCCCATTCCGCAACACTACTACGAAGCAATCTCAAGAGCGAGAGGCGAAGTTAGGTTGGAGTAGGGGCAAGCGGAGTATGTAATGGGAGGGGTGGTGGAGCGCGTCACGGTGGCCCAGGCCGTGGCGCTGAGAGGACTGGAATGGGAAGCGTCCACGTAGCATGTGGTAGCGTCACGTGGGAAAGGGTGATGGTGCAAGGCCCGGGCTTGACGGCGTCCATACAGGCCCGGGTCATGTGGGCAGGGAGCGGGGCGCATCAAAGGTTGTCTGAAAAAAGCTTTTGGTGGGTGTGTAAATGGAAATCAATAGGTTGCACTCCAGTTTGTTTCAGGAGCTATAGTGGCCCTGCGTAGAGCCAGATGGGCAACCCAGTTGCGTGTCCCTGAACTCTGAGGAGAATAGGAAGAGGGAAAATGTGCCCTGTAGCATAGCGTTTCAATGTAGATCCGTGTATAGGGAGGCGCAGAGCTACTTTATGGAGTATATTAAGGGCGGACTGAATACGCTTCCATGGGCGTACCAACCGGGGGGGCAACGGGGGCGCTCGCTCCCCCAGTTCTCAGAGTGGGGGGGCAAGGCATGTGTATTGCCCCCCCTGAAACGGCCGCCACTGGGCAGAGCAAACACTGGCCGGCGGCACCCAACGAATACCAAGGGCACTGCCCCCCGATTCGCGCGGGCATATTTTTAACGCGCAGGCGATACAAACCGTAGCAACGGCGCTCACGCCGGATTGGCTGGTTCGTGCAGCCTTGCTTCACGAACAAGGCTCCACGGTCCCTTTGCAGAATCCATCCGCGAGACGTGGGCCGGACGGGCCGTCCGGACCAAGATGTAGATAGACCCTTACACAAACCAAAGTTTTGCTTGCTTGCTTTGAGATAGGCGCTGCCGCCGTCAACATAGGCAGCGGCTACAGTGCGAGTTTCCGAAGAGGTAGCGTAACTTAGTGGTGAGCTGTCTGCCTCATACGTATCAGACTCGGGTTCTATTTATGGTGTGGGCTTACTTCTTTTTTTTTCCTCGAAAATTTTGTTTTGTCGCGGCATTTGGCGATATTTACGACATTTCTTTTTTACCATTAACACTAAAAAAAAAAATAAAAAAAAAACGAATGTTGCTGACGGCACATCGCTGAACTGAGTCGTATGGGACTCTATTTACAGAAGTGCATGGGGGACAGCGCGGGGGAGAGGGGGGTGGGGGGTTGGGTTGCCGACTGGACGCCGCAAGGCGGCGTGTCCGGGGGGAGGGGGGGGTGCTAAGTGGGCTAAAAGATTTGTAATTAGCAGCCGCACACTGTCGCCGCGAAGCGGCTTGAACGCAGGCGCGGGCGTTGGTTAATGCGCTTCGAGTGATACAGACGACGTCCGAATCCGAAATTTAAGTTCCCGCGCGTTGCCGAGCAGCCCATCCGGCCTGAGCGTCGTTGCTAGGGGGTCTATCGCCTGCGCCGTAAAAGGAGGCAGTAACCAAGGCGCCCGGTGCGCATACACAATTGGCCCTATCCTCCCCCTCCCCCCCCCCCCCCCCCACCACTCGTTTACAACGCCTACACGCACACACGCCGTAAAAGTCAGTGCTGGACCGAATCTGCCGAACTTCAGATTCGGCAAATTACCGCACATGCCGGTATTCTGAAGGAAAGCTCGGCGAAAATTCGGCAAAAATTTGGCAAATTTCTGCGCACGCGCACGAGCGCGACGGGGCCATGGGTCGCAAATGGACGCCGCGCAGTCGTGCGGTTACCATCGCACAGTTTAGTACAACCAGCGGTTACGGCGAGGTCTGGAGTAGGCTACACGGTAGTTGTGCGTTTGTGAGCTCTTGCGAGTGTGGTTCTCTTCAATATTTTCTGCCTCAAGAACAGAAGATCGACCAGTAATTTACTCAGTCCACTGCGCAGGTGACAAATGATGCGGTGCATTCTGGATAACGTGATTTTCATTTGACCTCTCCATCGATGCAACGAGGTAGTTAAAACATCGACTGACAACTGACAATTACGCTCAGTGTGCGCAGC